TCTGAAAAGCCAGACTTCCCGGAAGGATACGAGTGAACATAGGAGCCTTTGATAAAGCTTTTTTTTAACCAGTAGTAGCAACTGTATTTGTTGAATAGCTGCTCTGTTCCAAGAAAGGTAATAGTTACTGCACATAAAATTTATGTTTAATTTTTACAATAATCCTGTAAGTTAGATATTACATCCAGGTTTGAGGAGAGAAAGCCAGAGATTTTAGTAACTTAACCAAATTAACTGATATGTGGCAAAATTGGTGCTCAGACATACTCCGTGTTATATTTCTTTCATCCTAACACGGGCTGTTAGGTGAATCTTAGTTTCCCCCCTTACTAGCTGTGTGACTTTGGGGAGTCACTTATTGTCTCTGGCCTTCAGTGTCCACATCTGGGGAAACGAAAAAAGTAACAATGTATGTCTCCAAGACAGACTGGAAGCCTGAGACAGGACGTGCTTTTCTGGATATCTGCAATCTGCAATTCCTTCCCTGTGCCTCCTTTGGTCTTTGATTTTTTTCACGATCGCTTATTGTTATTATTGATAAAAAATGCTTAGCTTAGCTGGACTTAATTTAATCCAACAAACATTTAGTGAGTCTCTACCACGGACAAGGAACAGTGCTGGATGCTGAATACAATCAGTGGCTAAATCCAAATTCTAGGGACTCTGAGTGTTTCCTTTTTTGCTAAAATTTGTTGAGAGTTGACTGTGGCTCAACAGTTCTAAATACTTTACGTGCGTAAACCATTTAATTCTCACCATAATACTCTCAAGAAGGGATTGTTATGAGTCCTATTACACGGTGGAGGAAACTGAGGCACAGAGAGGCTGGGTTACATGACAAATCTTCAAACAAACAAAGAAAAAACTTGTAAATGATGGTGCTGGGACTCAAATCCAGTCAAGTTGACTCCAAAGCCTATGCTCTTAATTGACCCTGGGGCTATGAGGTCCCCTGTCCTTGTCTTTGCTGGTAGTTAAATGAGAAAATCCCCCAGGAGAGGGCACAAAGAAACATTCACAATATGTGCTCAAATAAGTCCTGGCACTGTCTAAGACAAGCATGCTGTTAGTTGTATGGGGATACAAAGTTGTATAAGAACTATGCTCCACTCAGGGGAAGCTAGATTGTAAGTGTAGAAAGAGTGTGGCATGCACGTGATTACTTACAAAGCAGGGAAGGAGTGGTGAGTACTGAAGACCAAGACAATTGTCTCAGCTGAGAGAAAGTCCTGCCAATAGAAGTCCACAGAGAGATCACTTCTGGTTTGGTTACTCAGAAACACTTGCTGATGGGACAGCTTGTCAAGTGGGACTTAAAAGAAGGCAAAGATTTCAGTAGTAGGTGGTGATGGGGGCTAACAAAAGCATGTTCCTGGAAGAGAAAGAGACAATGAGCCACAGAATGGAGGTGAGATGGGATGGGGCATTTCTCTGGGAGTGACCAGGAACCTCTCTTGCTGGGATGTTTTGGCGTGAAGGGGACTGTAGGACACTGGTCATTGAACTCTTGTGAGGGAGAAGGTGTACAGGCTCTCAGTCTAAATTCCAGTGCAGCCCCTTGAGTGCATATTTCCTCATCTGTCACCACAGAGAAGAGGCACAACCATGAGCATGGGGGAGGAGAATGGAAAGGAGCTTGGGCTTCCCTCAGCAGGTGGTGGGCAGCACAGAAGGGGTGTGAGGATCCAGGTGGCATCAGCAGGTGTAAAGTGCTGGAGAGAAAAGCAAGGAAGAGAGTTGGGGACCCAACTCCACAAAAATTGATAAGGCAGGAGCAGTGATGAGAAAGAAGGACAAGATAGAAAAACCAGTGAAATCTGAGGCAGAGGATGATGGAAGACAGAAAGTCGAAGACAAATGCATAGTTTCAAACCTGGGTGGATCAACTATTGATTCAGGGAAAGACTGGGTTAGAGGCTCTCTTTAGGACATCCATTCCCCGGTCTCCTCTGACATCCATATCATTGCAAGGAGCATTAGTGAGTTCAAAAAAGGTGAATTGTGAAAAGATGGTGAAGACCATGAGCAGAGCCTTGGGAGCTGGCCACCCTGGTGGGTTGAGTGGGAGGGCCTGAGGGGTCACCCAAGGCCCATAGGAGGGGAGAGGAAGGAGGACATGTGTCTCAAAAGTCACTGGAGGAAGAGCCTTGAGAATGACGAGGCATTGGGAATGCAAATGACACATGACATCTAGAAGGACTGAAAACAAGTTTTTGGCATCAGTATTTAGGACATGATGGGTGTTCTTTCAGGTGACTGTTTCAGCAGTAAAGCAAGTCTTGGCTGGTGGTCCACAATGAGGGTGGTGGGATAAGGGTCTGGGCCAAGAAGAGGGAGGTGGATGTGTCATCCACATAGAGACAGAGGGAGTGTCCTGTCCTGGGTGCACAGGAGGTACAGAAACAAAGATGGCATGGGGCTTGAACAGAGGCCTTGGTACCTTCAGTCATCAGAGGCAGTTTAAAACATGCAAAATAGTCTCCAAAGTGCTGGCTGGAGAGGAAAATGAATTGGCAGAGAGCAAGCCTGGGAGGCAAAGGTGATGCGTGCTGAGGGCCAGGGGTAAAGCCCTAGTTGGGGGGGAGGGGGGAAGAAAGCCAAATGGATCATGGCCACCCATTCTTCTGTAGGGTGGCCCTGAGACAGCGTCTCTTCCCATGGGACAATGCTCTACTTCCTTTTGTCATTGCTCTAGTTTTTTTTAAATATAGAAACATCCAATACCTCCTCATATAGAGTTGGGCCAAGTTTCAAAGGCATCATTGAGTTTTCAGTGGACTCAGTTATCAGGGCTGTTCTCACACTTTCCTTTTTTTTTTTTATTTTTCTTTTTCTTTGCAAGAATCAGTAATGGGTTCAAGGAGACCTGAATAGGATGCCCAACCAAAGATGGTGGTGCTGAATCAGCTAGAATCCATCCAAGAGTCCAACAAACCTGGTGTGGGGCAACCCTGGATCCTTAAATGATTCTCAGCCCCTTTTAGGGGAGGCAGGCTCAGAAAGGCCCCGCCCAGGAGGTCCCTCCCATTCAAAGGGCCCCGCCCCTTGTTTCCTGCTTTGCTTTTGTTACAGGGTTGAAATCCTTAGTAATTGAACAAGAGACTCCACATTTTTACTTTGCACTGGGCTCTGCTGATGAGTAGCTGGTCCTGTCCCCTCTCTTGTCTCATCCACCTGGGAATTTTTCCCACTTTCCGAACCTTTTAGTAGTGCTCCAAAGGGATTCCTGCCCATATCTGAAGCCTCTCCACTTCCATGGCCGCACCCTAGGCATCCCTGCTTTGGAGGCCGGTGTGGGCAGGCTGTGTGCAGAGTCATGACCCTGACTCAGCCCAGGCAGCCAGTGGCTGCCCTGCTCCCATTCGGGACAGCCCGACTTTGCAATCTGGTTCTCTTCTCTTCCTCCTCCCAGAGGGTCCGCGTTGGGGAGATGCAGCTGGGTCCATTCCAAGGAGCTCCACACCTCAGGGTCAAGGGAGCTGGGGCAGCTTTCTCACCCGTGAGCCCAGCTCTGCGGGTCCCAGCTGTGACTCTCCGCCCCCGGGCGTTGGGGCGTGTAGGTAGGGACAGTCCTACCAGCTCCCTTTCCCTTTCAGAGTGTCCACGCCCACCCCCCTGGACACTGTGGGTCAGTCCAGTCCAGTCCGGCCCACTGGTGTTTTTCGCACGAGAGGACGCCACGCTCTCCTGTTCTCCTGTAAAGTTTGGGCTCTACTGGACCAGGGAGGCTAGAGGTGTAAGCCCTGGAATCCACGCGGAGCTTCTGTGCAGCGGAGTTTCCTACCCTCGAGCTAGGTCTCTTCGTTCCCCACACTCTTAACCCTTTTCAGCCCAAGTTCTCCAGCTTCTTTGGCTTTGTTTAGAGCTCAACAGCGCCGCCTCCCGGTGCTTGGCTGTGAGCGCCCGCAGAGGACGACGGCAAAGGGTGTTTTTAAACAAAGTTTGCCTCTCTGGGTTAGGTTTTGGACCCACCCCTCTGCATTCTTGGTAAGTGAACAAGCGGATAAGGTCGAAAGTGACAGATTCCCATCTCCTCCTCCCAGCTCTCCCCACCCTACCATCCACAGGACAGTTCCTCTTCAATGTCCTTTGCTGAATAAGTGGCATTTATATGCACCTCTGTATCAATTCGGCCCCTGGACAGACCTTGGTCCCTTAACAGACCTTGGTGGGATCCACTTGGAGCTTGCAGCGCCTCCTCGGGGGCTGCCTGCGAACTCCGTTGGGGGTGTCCCCCTGTGACCCAGACGACAACACAACAGGCTGAAGCGCTCCCCCACACGCCCGCCCCTACGGGCCTGCGCAGCAATTCACCTGCCACGGCTTCTTAAGGGTGAGAGGAGCTCAGAGCCCCCTGCGAATTTCCCACGCGACGACATGGGGTCTGGCTTTGGCAGTGCTCGCCCAGGAACTCACAGGTCCATAGCCAGCCACGGGGAGGAGGGGCGCTGGTGTTAGGCCAGTCCTCTTGGCTTTGACCGTCGCCCCGGTCACACCCACTGTCCTCCGGGGACAAGCGCTCCCCTGGTCTCCTGAGCCAGGTGCCCTGGCTCCAGGGCGGGACCCACCTCTGTCTTTGTGGAAGTCCACGTACGAGGCGGCCCCTCCCAAAGTCCTCTTTGTGCGGAGCACCTCCTCCCAGAGTGCTGAGCACTATCTCCCCCACGTCCCATTCAAAGCCCTCTTCTCTTCGCCCGGGTCTCCAGTTCCCAGGGCTCTGCAATCCAGGCTTTCCTTGAAATCGGTGGTAACATTTATGGTGGGGGCGGGGCGGGGCGGGCAGGAGTAAAAGATTAAGGAGGGGCTGCACCAGTGGGGTCCGGAATGGTGGGGGCGGGGACTGTCGCCTTGCTACGAGGGTGCTGTCTTCCGTGGCGCCTGAGACTGCCGGCCCCGCCCGGGAACCTCCCCGTGCCCGGCCGGGTTTACTCATCCCCGCGAGGTGATCCCAGGCTCGAGGGCGGGCGCATGGCGTCCGGAGAACCCAGTAATCCGAGAATGCGGCATCGGCCCTTCCCACCAGGCACTTCCTTCCTTTTCCCGAACGTCCAGGGAGGGAGGGCCGCGCACTTATAAACTCGAGCCCCGGCCGAACGGCATGTCAGAGGCTGCCTCGCTGGGGCCGCGCGCCATGGCCAGAGGCGTCTGGGCTGGGACGGACACAAGCGACTGTCACCAGCGGCATCCTGCGCCCCTCTGCTCCGGCCAGGCCCTGTCGCAGCGCCCGTGCTTTCCCCGGCGCCTGCACCCGGCGCACCTGGGCAACATGCTCGGGGTCCTGCTCCTTGGCTTGCTGGCCCCAGCCGGCCTGGGGCTCCCGACACCCGCAGAACCGCAACCCCGCGGCAGCCAGTGCGTCGAGCACGACTGCTTCGCGCTTTTCCGGCGTCCTGCGACCTTCCTCGCTGCTAGCCAGATCTGCGAGCGCCTCCAGGGCCACCTGATGACCGTGCGCTCCACAGTGGCTGCCGAAGTCATCTCCTTGCTGCTGAGTGGCGACGGCGCTGATGGCCCGCGCCTCTGGATCGGCCTGCAGCTCCCACCTGGCTGCAGCGACCCCAGGCATCTCGGGGTCCTGCGCGGCTTCCAGTGGGTAACGGGGGACAATGGCACCAGCTACAGCAGGTGGGCGCGGCTCGACCGCTATGGGGCGCCCCTCTGCGGTCCTCTGTGCGTCACTGTCTCCGCGGCTGGGGCCCCGGCACCGAGCGAGCCGGCCTGGGAGGAGCAGCAGTGCGAAGCCGAGGCCGATGGCTTCCTCTGCGAGTTCCACTTCCCAGCTTCCTGCAGGCCCCTGGCGGTGGAGCTCGGCGCCCTGGTGGCTGCCAACGTCTCGATTACCTACAGCACCCCGTTCGCGGCCCGCGGCGCGGACTTCCAGGCGCTGCCGGTGGGCAGCTCCGCCGCGGTGGCGCCCCTTGGCTTGGAGCTGATGTGCGCTGCGTCGCCCGGAGCTGCCGAGGCGCGCTGGGGCCGGGAGGCGCCGGGCGCCTGGCACTGCAGCGTGGAGAACGGCGGCTGCGAGCACGCGTGCAATGGGATCGCAGGGGCGCCCCGCTGCCTCTGCCCGGCTGACGCCGCCCTGCAGGCGGACGGGCGCTCCTGCGCCGCACCTGCTGAGCAGTCTTGCGACGACCTCTGTGAGCACTTGTGCTTCCGCAACCCCGATGTGCCAGGCTCCTACTCATGCATGTGTGAGACCGGCTACCAGCTGGCGGCCGACCATCACCGGTGCGAGGACGTGGACGACTGTTTGCTGGACGACAGTCCTTGCCCGCAGCGTTGTGTCAACACGCAGGGTGGCTTTGAATGCCACTGCTATCCCGGCTACGAACTGGTGGACGGCGAGTGCGTGGAGCCCGTGGACCCGTGCTTCGGAGCTAACTGCGAGTACCAGTGCCAGCCCGTGGGCCAGACTAACTACACCTGCGTCTGCGCCGAGGGATTCGTGCCCAAGCCACAGGAGCCTCACAGGTGCCAGATGTTCTGCAATCAGACTGCATGTCCGGCCGACTGCGACCCCAACACCCCGGCTAGCTGCAGGTGCCCCGACGGTTACATCCTGGACGAGGGTTTCATGTGCACGGACATCGACGAGTGCGACAATGACTACTGCCCCGGCGAGTGCCGCAACCTTCCTGGCAGCTACGAGTGTATTTGTGGGCCCGACTCGGCCCTGGCTGGTCAGGTCAGCACCAACTGCAACCCGGTCAAGGTGAGTGACGACGAAGGCGGCGGCTCTGGGGAGCCCCCCGCTAGCCCGACGCCCAGCTCGACGCCCAGCTCCACCTCAGGTCCCCCGTCGGCGGGGCAGATGCATTCAGGTGTGCTCATGGGCATCTCCATCGCCAGCCTGTCCCTGGTGGTGGCGCTTTTGGCACTCCTGTGTCACCTGCGCAAGAAGCAGGGCACCGGGCGAGCCAAGATGGAGTACAAGCCTGCCGCCCCCGCCAAGGAGATGGTGTTACAGCATGTGCGGACCGAGCGGACGCCGCAGAGACTCTGAGGGGCCCCCTCCCTCCCCCAGCCGGCATCGATGTTGTCCTTCCCTCCCTCCTGTGCCCGCCGGGCCCCAGCTTTACTCCCTGTCTACCCAAAAGCACTTTAGATGGCGTTAGAGCTGGAGAAGACCCTCCTCCATCCTCCCCAAGCTGTTTTCGCTGATTTCCATGCCTCGCTGGGGAGGAGGCGTTGGGAAGGGGGTTGAGAAGCCCCAGCCTCTTCCAGGACGTCACCGGACAACCGGGCAGAAATGGCGATTTTACAGTGAAGACACAGACTGCGTAGTGTACCCGTCCTCATCACAGGACGCAGGAGGGGTGAGCGTTTTTTTGTAGGCAGCCTTTTGGGCAGACCTTGACCCAATGGGCTAGTGATGGCCAAGATATTTATTTTTTTAAGTATTTAGGAATTTTTTCCTTTGCTCCCTCTCCCCATTTTTTCCCACTTTATACACACTCCCCCTTCCCCTCTGTAGAGATACACACACTCCCCCTTGACCTGTGGCTGTTAAATTACCTTGGTGAATTTCTTCCCCCCACCCCCAGCCCTCTAAAATTTATGAAACAAGCCCTATTTCTCCCCTCATTCCTCCCAGTTTTCTCCTCCCAGGAACTGTACCCACTCACCTAAGACACTTAACTTGTGCCTGGCCCTACTTCTTTTCCCCTTAGCTGTCTGCCCAGGCAGAACTTCTGTGTGAAACACAAACAAAAACACTAAAAATGAAAGTAGTTGGTCATTTGCTCTTTCACCAGATTTGCTAACTTATCCTGCAATTTCAGGTTGCTAGAGCAAAATAATTTTATGAAAGTTTAAGATGTAAAAGGTATTAATTAAATTAATGTTGCTGGACTATCATAGAAATTAAACCCAAGGAGTTTTTTATTTTTATTTTATAAACAGTGAGCCTGAGTTTTGTTGTTGTTGTGTTGTTGTTGTTGTTTTTAGTTGGACTGAAAAATAGTAATAGTTGTTAAGCTTCTTATGCAGTTTCCTTTTTTATTATTATTATTCCTTATTTTTGACAGTGTTAAAAATGTTCAGATGGTTGCTCTAGATTGAAATAAGAGAGAAACACCTCCTAGGAGACAGTTTAAGAACATTTGAGCTGCGTGATTCATGCCAATTATCTGTTGACTTGCACTGTTCTTGTCACTTTGTAGACCAAAATAAAACCAGCTTTACTGGTTTTGTGGAATTGGGAGCTGGGGAATGCAGCCTGGAGGAGGCCCCATTAGGGCCACCTTAATCAGGTCCTTGGAGAATTTCTCCCATTTCAGAGTGGGCTTCAAGCCCTGCAATTGGAATGTGGTCCCTAAATAAGAATTGGAAGCTGCCCAGGAGAGCTGGTTAGAAATGCAGGATCCTAAGTTCCACCCCACCTAATTCATGAGAATCTATATTTTAACAAGATCTGCAGGGGGCTTGTCTGCCCAGTAATTTGAGGACAACTGTTCCAGACTGCTTCCAATTTTCTGGAATACATTAAATATGAATCAGTAATAAGTAGCAGGCCAAGTCAGGCCCTTTATTTTCAAGAAACTGAGGAATTTTCACTGTACAGCTTTGCTTTCTGGTAGAAAAGAAAGTACACTGCTACACAAGGTCCAGAATATCTTCGGTTCAACTAAGCTAGGCATGAAATTATACTTCAGTGTATGGAAAAAATGTATCATACAAATGTATCTTTTGTAAGGCAAAGATTTTCCTCTATTATTTTGTAAACTCAACATATTTGTACATAGTTATTTATTTATTGGAGATAAACTAGAACACAGGCAAAACCCTTGCTTATGATGTCACTTGTACGAAATAAACAAATTTCAGTATGCTCTTGGGTGTGTGTCGGTTCGCCTTTCCTCCCCAGGTCCCTCATTCAATGACATTAAATGGGGCTCACAAACCATGCAAATGCCAGGAGATGCATTAAAGGCTGCTCTGCCCCCAACTTGTGCCATCTGGGGATGGCACCATCTCTGACTTTCAAAGATCTCTCCGGAGGAGATTATTTTCACTGTGGAAAGATTTCTTACTATCTCTGTGTGCACAAATATTTATTTTTTCCTTCTGTAACCATAACAACTTCATACAGGAGGACTTGTGTCTCTGTGTTTTAAAATACATTATTGGATCATTTGTTGGGATGAATTAAATAAACAGTCCTTCCTGGGGCATCTCTAGAATCCCAGCTGTTATCCTGTGTATGGTTTGACATTATCTGCTCTATGAGCTATCCAAACTCAAAGTAGCCGTGCAGGGTCTCAGTCTGTGGCTCAAATTCAAGTTATGGTTTCTAAAGATCTCATTCAGTATTAAATCATTCTCATCTCTGTTGGAGAGTAAAAATGCTGCCTTTCAATACACAAATTTTGGGGGGCTCCCTTTTCTGGGGTGGTAGAGCAGGCTGAATGCTACATGCAGGTCCTGAAAGTTTTCATAAAGCAGAAATTAGAAGAAATTATAGTTCAGACAAATAGTCAAATATTTTTTATATGTCTGGATAATGCTGAATTTCTGTTTTAACCCTAGTAGTTACTGTTGTGAAGGCACAGTTGAAGATTTCAACATCCATCGCAGATGAAGCTGACAGCTTTAGTGGGGAGGGGCAGCTACTATGCACAGGGCCCTGTGGAGATAACGAGCCGGGCAATGTCCCCACTAAGAACTGCAAGTCTATATGAAGGAAGAACTCCATGAACAGGGGCAAAACAGGTGCAGACAAATGGTGCTGGGAGGCCAGAGGAGACGGCGATATTTTACAAGCCATTTACCCGGCCTTCCATTTTTCAAAAGGGTCTTCTCCCAGCAGCTGTCAAATTGACTCGCGGGCTCATTGCTTCAGGATTTCATCTTCCAGGGAGAGGCGTTTTCTTAAGAAGCACAGGAAGAACCAAACACACTTTCAAACTTCAGAGGCAAAAACCCCTAGTGGGGCTCTTGGAACACAGAACACTAGTCCGGTGGGGTCCAGAGCTTCCCTGTCCTCACTTCCTGCTGTGTGGGGGTTTGGGGAAACCAGAGGCTCTGTTTACGGGCCTCATCTGAACTTGAGATTCTCAAAACAACTACATAGCCACAGCTCCTCTCTGAGAAAGGTACCAGAACCACATAAACAAATCAGTTAGCTATGAACTATCCCCCAGCACTTAAAATGAGGATAGACCTTATGAAACTAGGGCCATGGGTCAACCTGTGTGGTCTCTGCTTTCTGTTCACATCATAGGACATCCAGGACCAAGGGAGAGTCCCAGGGCATGTTTGCCCTCTGGGATATTTCACAGCACTAAGGGGCTGGGCAAGAAGGCTAAGGTGGTACTTCTAGATAAGCCAGAATTTGATTCCCTAAGTGAAATGACTGTTATTTTCCCCAGTCCTTACCCCTTTTCTTGGATTAGTTCAGTAGATATTTACTGAGTACTTACTCTGTGTCTGTCACAGTGATAGGCATGGTGACAAGGCCCTGCCCTGTGAAGCTACACTCTGGTCGGAGAGACAGACATGAAGCGCATGATCACCCCCAAATGATACTTACCTTGAAAACCGTGGTAAGTGCCACAGGGGAAAAGCACAGCACACTCTGAGAAGGCACAGCAGGGGGACAGGTTTTAGATTGGAGGACTGGAGAAGGCTTCCTGGACACCCTGACCTGAAGGGAGAATAGGGGCTAGTCCCATGCAGAGGAGGGGAGCAGTCCAGGTGGAAGGGACAGCACAGCATGTGCAAAGGCCCTGCGCTGGCGCTGAGAAGAGTCCTGGCGGAGGGGATGAAGCTTAGTGAGGTAGGGCGAGGGGGTTGCAAGGTGAGGCTGAAGAGGTGGAAACAGAGATAAAAGCAGGGGTGGGGGGTTATAAGCTAGCTCAAAGACACTGAAAGAAAGACTTTGAGAGAAGGATGTTGACAAATGTCCTAGGTGCAAGTGGGCCACACAAGGAGTTTTGATAAGAGTGTGCCGGGATTAGATTTATGTACTGAAATTGGGAAGATAACAGCCCTGTCGAGACTAGCTAGCATAGAGTAGGGGACATGATACACACTTGCATTTGCCCCCAGCCTGACTGCTGGTGGTCATGTGATCATGGATACACGTAATAACCCCTCTAAGGCTGTAAAGCGGGGTGGGGAGGGAATTGGGGGCATCCATCACCCCCTAAGGGAGGAGCTGTTTGTGCAGGGGTAGGAGTGACCCCTCAATTCTCCATAGTGGTAAAACCCAGCTTCCAATGCGCTAGTCTATTCCCCCTGCTCACACGACCTATCCAAATGCAGAGATGCAGAGACCCCCCTCCCTGTTCTCCCAGGGAGGCCACAAAGAAGGGGAGATCATGTCCCGAAGTGCCCTTCTCACTTTCTCAGGGCCCAAAGGAGAGAGTGAAACACGGCTCCTGCCCCGGCAGGGTCCGGCCTCCCCTCCAGAGGTGGGGAGGCTCCTGCATGCGACATTGTGGCTTTGGATGGGGCTGAGGACAGAAGATCCCCAACTTCTCACTTTGGAGGCTCCTGATGTTTTTGCCTTGAATGAGATTCATTATCCTATCTTTTATTCAAGGAAAACTGAAATTACAAAGAATACATAAAACCACATTTTCATCCTGGTTGTGGCTCGGTGGGGAGTACCCAAAACACACCCCCTCTGACCTCGTCAGCATTTCTTCATAAAATAATCCAAGCAACACCCAGCTCGTACTTTCTTTCTTTTCCAGAATTAACGCCCTGGGTTCAGCACTATCTCTTTCTGTTTTGAGTGGGTCCTTCCCCCTTTTTCTGGTCAGCAGGTTTGGATGTAGGCAAACAACCGATTTCCTCTCACAAGAGAAACTAAATATTGTTTTAACATCAGATTCTACGAGAATCAAAATCCTTTTTGGTGTGTTTTGAAAGTGTAATTTCCAAAGACAAAAGAACCCTGGGGATGGGTTAGCTCAAAGCCACCCCCACTTGAGAGGGGAGCAGACAGCAGAGCATTCCAGTGCAAAACACAGATTCAGAGCTGGGGTCCGTGACAATTAATGCCACCCGGCCACAGTCAGGTATTTCCCTGGATCCCTGACTGAAGGAAACCTTCTGCTAAAATAGGAAATTCTATACCAATATTATTCTGAGACAAAACCACTTCTCTTCTGCATATGCAGTGAGTGGCAGCATACCCCTGCTACTGCTCTCCTCCAGTCTTCCTTCTGCCTTCTCGCTGGGGCCACTCCATCTGTTAACTCACTCAACTGTTGGAGTCGGGCAAACCTTTGTTCCACAGTTTTCCTAATGCCTTCCCTCTTCCTTCCGTCTCCTGCCTTATTTCAATTTAATTCCCTTGAGAACGGGGTTCCCATCTTCCACAAGCTCTTTGGATACGCCAAGGCGTGTGCATCATCACCCTCATAATAAGAGCACACCTTTTCATTTGTTTTTAAATGATGATATAATGCAAACC